TAATTCGCTTGTTTATAAAATCTGAATATGGGCAAATAATAAATAAAATGATAATTCTTAGACTGTTCAACCACTGGTCAAATGTTTGGGGTTGGTAAGTAGTTTTTTTTTTTTTCTCTTATCTTTTTTTCTCTTTTCTCGTTTTCTCTTTTCTCTTTTCTCTCTTAAGTCTCTTATCCTCACCAAGTTTCCATTTATTTGATTAAAAGTATATAAAAACAGTATTAATGTTAAACATTAATGTTAAATATTAATATATAATATAATATTATTTTTATTATATTAATATATAATAATAATATTTTTTGTTGTAAACAGTTTTGCAGCTTAATATTATTGCGGAAACGGTAATAGTGTTTTCTGTATTGTTTGATAAATATAAAGTTCAAAAGGATAGCATTTTTTTAAATAAAAATTGTTTATAATATTATGAATGTCTTTACTATCCATTTTGAGCAATTCAATGCATCATTGCTTAATAAAATGAATAATTTCTTTAAAAATAAACATTTACTTCAAATTGTATTAGAAATACCAAAATTGTATTCATGTAAAATATTAAAAGTATTTATTTTGATGTTTATAAGAGTAATGAATGAAGATGAATTGATTAGAGTCTCCAAGATGAAATATTTTGTGTTGTTGTTAAAGGGAAACTTTAATGTTGTATTAGAAATACCAAAATTGTATTCATGTAAAATATTAAAAGTATTTATTTTGATGTTTATAAGAGTAATGAATGAAGATGAATTGATTAGAGTCTCCAAGATGAAATATTTTGTGTTGTTGTTAAAGGGAAACTTTAATGTTTGTGCATCAGTTGTATGTGCAGGGTACTTCAGGTACTAATGTGGGAGATATGTCAGAGACTTAAACACTATTTGTCTGCTTTGTATTTTTAATGAAATGGAAATGAACAGTGCGTAACTTATTTATAATCAACACAATCACAATTAGGTTGGGAAGAAACATATTGAACATGAATTACTTATGCTAAATTACACTAATTAACAGTAAACATCCTAATTGAGTCAACTTCAAAAACACAGTGATAGAAAGCACTCTTTAAGTACGTTCTTTTTACCCTTAAAAAAAGCTTTTTTTTTAACTAATCCAATATATTGTAGATAAGCAATTTTCTCTGAAATAAATCAGGTTTTAAGAGAATAAAGTCGGTGCCCTTAAATGGAATATCCCTGTTTACTTTCAAAGAAAAAATAAGTCTTTATTTAAATTTTAATGCAGCATTATTGCAGTGTTTTGAAAGTGTCAGGGAATAATGCAGTCCCTGGTGAGAATTAGTGCAAATATGAATGCTTGTGTTTTTAACTTCAGTTGAAGGTTTAATATTCAAGACTTAACGGGCCATGTCAAGACTTGATGGGATCATATGTAATCAAACAAAGGACAACATTATAAGACTTCATATGTAATGATTGATCAACACTGCCTTTCGCTAACATAGTTAGCAAGACCTACGAGGAATGTGGATCACTGACAGATCATTGCACTAATTCACAGAAGTGCTTTAATAAGTAAGGATTAGCTAGCCTTTCCATTTTCAGTCAGTCCAAGCCATAACGGGAGGCAGTGCAAAACGCTCTACCTCATTAAACAAGATCTTATTAACTGGAGCTCGGCTTATTCAGCTTAAAACTTGTGCATTTAATCAATTAAGTTGCATGCGTTAAGTTAATCATTATAATTCCACACATTTTGTGGGATCAAATGTCAAGGTTTCATTATGGTGTATTTTCAGAATGATTGGCAGTTCCTTTTGTTTTGCAGAGTTTAAATGGACTGTTTTAAAAGAAACATGTTTTCAATTAACTCATAACTCATAATTAAATCATAATTAACTAAATTAACTCAAAATCTTTTTTCTTTCTTTCTTTCTTTCTTTCCTTCCTTCCTTCCTTCCTTTCTTTCATTCTTTCTTTCACTGGATGATCCACAGATCTTGTTCATTCTCAAATATTGCTAGCATTTTTCTTGAGGCCTTAAATGTATAGTCCATCCAAAAATGAAGATTTTGTTATATGTTATACTAGCTGTTATGTTGTTCCAAACCTGAATTTCTTTGTACTGTGGAAAATAAAAGAGGATATTTTAAAGAATGTTTAAGTGACTTCTATGGACAAAACGTACAGTGGAAGTTTTCATTTTTGGGTGGACTATCCCTATAAGTCAAGTAGTTTTTTTTTTATTTTCTCCAGAGCAAAAGTAAAATAATTTTCAATATTCAACATTTACACAAAGATTAATTTGATACCAAATATGCCCATCATCAAAGCTTAAAAATTCTATTCAACTCAGCATACTGAATGATTCCCAGATTTTGATTGGAAAACAAAAATACCCTAGGTCATTTACAAAGTTCACTCATAGAATGATTTCAATATGAGGTGACTTAAAATGGCCTAGGTTGCACATAGTCTCCTTTTCCAACCCAGGCTCATTGGAAAGACGTGCTAGTATCGACATTTCTGGAAAATATCATGTTGCTTCTTATATGTTTCATGACCATTTCAAAGTGAAATGTCCAGTGAGTGACGGTAAAGGTGCATTCAGTTTTATTCAAAACAGATGAACTTGAATCTAGCAATGTTTCATGGTCAGGTGAATGTCAGGTGAGTAACTCTAAAAGGTTAATGTCTTTGAAAATAATGTACCACCTACCCTAAACCTAACCGACAGTGTTAACCAAATCAAACATAAGATGAAAGCCATTCTATTTTAGCTTGCTTTTACAAGACTTTGATCTCTTTTGAGTGTCATCGTGGTTCATAAAAGCACTCTGCATTGCAAGTGTAGTGCTGTACCAGGTGAGCTACCAAGCAAGTTTACTTTGTCAGAAAAGCCACACATACAGTATGGAGCTGGTTTAAATCGCACACTATGGTAAAAGTTTGAGGTCATAACATAGTATAATGCAAGGAATTGTGCAAAAGTAAGTCTTTATTAATCAATAATCTGCCCCTGTAAGCATAATTTATGTGAAAAAGAAATTCAATTTGCTGGTGTGCTTAACTGACACTTTATTTCAGCTAGAAAATGCATTGAATGTACAGTAGGTAGAGGCACGTTTTTCCAATGAGCCTCAATTGTCCATTTCATTTCGCTTCGCAGTTTGCTTTTTCAGCACTATTGTTTGCGTCTTCCCTTCCTGTCATTCTGCCCCTGGTTGACACTCTCATTTCTTTTTTTTCTTTTTTTTTTTGCCGGAGTTGGCAAAATTTCACTGCTCCATGGCCCACTTCGACATACTGCATTTTACCTTCCCCAACTTCAGTTACGCTAAATAAAATGAGTCAAGTGAGATGAATGTTCATGTCTGACATCAGCTTTACTGCACATCCGGGAGCCACAAACTGAACAAGGACAAAAAGGGTGAGGTTATTCGTGGGAGGGACTTTCATTTCTTTGGAAATAGATTTGTGCTTCATTACAAAATGGAGTTATGCAGTAGGTTGTGGAGTGTAATTACAGAAATCACTGCAGGAACTCAATCAGAATAGTCAAGCATTAAAGCATTTATGCAGCAAAAAAAATGAAGTAACCAGTCAGCACTCTTAAAGCTGCATCTGTGCTGATGAGCATCTGTTTATGCAAACCGTGTAAGTGCTTATGAATGGAATGTTTGTCAAATTAAAATTTCAAAACTAAGTATTTATACTGAAGAATGCTGTATCTCGTATGTTTTTCCATAAACACCCTAGCCTGTGTGATAGACTCCCAAATGTTTTTTGTCTGATGGTATTCAGATGGGAGAGTCTCTAAAAGTGCTGAATTGTTAATGAAGCTCTAAGTGGAGGGGAAATAATCATATTTGCACAGTTGTAATTAAAGCCATTGGTAAAGACATATTGATCGCCACCACCTTTGGCTGCCAGCCTGTGATTACGCTCAGGGATTGAGCCATAAAATATATTTCTCCAAGATAGCAAGCCACATGGTTACTTGACTGAACAAAATGGAACTTGACTGGTGTCATATAAATTTGAAGAACTAGGGAACTATGTACTTACCTTCTGTAGGGATAGGCCACAATAGTAAAGTAGCCTGTCTACAACCTATCTACAATTATGTTTATCTTAATTTTTTAATGTGTTTAATGCTGGTGGCTTAATTAGCATGCTACCAGTGTGCTGTGTTTTAGCTGTTAAACAGTTTGAATGATTAAACTCTCTCAGAAAGTTGCATCTTTTATTTAATCTGCTTCATCTGCTGTTGAAATCTGCTTAAACTAACCTGCTTTGCTGGTCTTATCTGGTTTAATAGGGTCTCCCAGACTGGTCTGCACTTAAAGCTATAGCTCACCCAAAAATGACAGTTCTGTCATCATTTACTAATCCACATGTTGTTCGAAACCTTTATGCCTTTTTTTTTTTTTTTTTGGAGCGCAAAAGAAGATATTTTGAAGATTGTATAAATGAATAAAGAACCGTTTTGGTTACCATTGCCTTTTTTGTATAGATAGAACACACAGAGACATTTCTCAAAATGGTGAGAGGATTTTGTTTAGTTTTTGGGCAAATTGTCTTTTTAAGCTAATCTTGCAAGTGTTTATCCAGTTTAGCTAGGCGGCAGCAGGTCTTCAACCAACAGACAGACTGACTGGGTTTGATAACTATAAGGTTTTGATAATTGTTCTAATTACATGACAAAAGGGGGGTCAGTACTGTTGGAATCATTTTTAGAACATTTTTGTCCTGCTGATAAACAATAAAAACACTAACAGCCAATCAGAATCCACTCAAGATTAAAGAGCTTGAACATTTCATGCGATACATGACAACTGCAGCATGCACTTAAAATTAACAGAACATTATCATCCCTTGGTGGACACAAATAATTTTAATATTTATAATTATCGCTCTTGGTGTGAATGTACCTCAAAACCAGCAAACCAATATAAAATAAATAAATAAATATATAAATATAAAGTTTCTCACATTCCCATTTTATATTTCCTCTCTCTCTCTCTCTGTCGCCCACAGCCTGCGAGTTGATGAACAGAGGTATCTTAGCCTTGGTCAGCTCTATCGGCTGTATGTCTGCGGTGTCGCTGCAGTCTTTAGCTGACGCAATGCACATCCCGCACCTCTTCATCCAGAGGGCACCCACAGGCACTCCTCGCTCTAGCTGCCCGGCCACCAGTCGCGCCCAACCAGACGACTACACTCTCTTCGTCCGGCCTCCCGTCTACCTAAATGATGTCATCTTCCAAGTGGTGATGGAGTACACCTGGCAGAAGTTCATTATCTTCTACGACACTGACTATGGTGAGTAGTTTCAATTTACTGATGGCAGTAGTAAACGGCCGAAAGGAGCTCTCTCACAGTGTGTCCAATCAGTGACCCCACATTAACAGCCTCTTATTACCACCACCAAGAGGAAATTATACAGCATTATTACCTCCATTGCTCATTATGTGTTTAAGGCATTTTTTTCTGAATGTGTTTAAGAGGAAAAAGCGTGACTGTGAGTGAGGAAAAAGATTCTGGGCATTCACAGATTAACCAGAGAGCCGACTGGGCTGTTGCCCACAGGCCTTTAAGTCCAAGAGGCCTCAAGCTGTTATTAATTTATTTAATTTTTTTCAGGAAACATCTTACCTTGAGCTTTTACCCATTGCATTTCATAGCGTTTCTCTTGGCCTTGCGGTGCATTTCACTGACTGAGCAAAACAAGTTAAACATGTTTCTTGATATGGCAGGTTTTGAAAATTGATGGGAAGGTAAAACAAAGCATGTTTTAAAATGTATGTTGTAGTCGTAACTCTCCTAATGAAAAAAAAAACTAAAATGTATTTGAAATACATTTATTTTGTAAACATATTTACATATTTATGTGCTTAATAAAAATGCATTGCAATTGTATTTTTAGAATACTAAACTGCTATACTTAAAGTCTGCTAAATTGGGATAACTACTGTAATTTTGTGCTTAATGCATTTTAATTGTGCTGAAGAAAGCTAAATAGAAATATACTGAAGTATATTTGATTGTGCTAAAGTGGAACTAAGTATACATCAGGTACACTTTAAATATCTTGCATTTAAAGTCTGATAATATACAGAAATCCTTTTTTATTTAATAGTGATATTAAAACACATTTTCGACATATTAAGAAATGTGCATTGCACAATGAAGAAATACTCCAAATAAAGTTGAATTATAATTTTATATCAGTAAGTCTTAAGTGATATGTCAATAAACATGTTAATGGATTTGAAGTAAACTTAGTATGAAATAAATGTAATTAAAATAAATAAATTATGATATGATTTTTTTTTTACTATGGTACAGTATTCAATCAACAAGAAAGAATAGTAATATATTGTGAATTTTATTTGTTGTGTTTAAATGTTTATATATTGAGAAAATACTTTTGGTTTTGACCATTTGAGCTCTATGTTGGTGTTGAGATTGAGATTGATGTTAGCATGTTTCTAAAAAGGCTGTCACAGTATCAGATTTTTTTACTAAATGATAATTGTGGCCAAAAGAATTCATGATAATGATTTATTGCAACTATCTTTAGAAATTTTGAAAAGGAAAAATGTCATAGAGTTTCATAGAAATTCATCTGTAACTTTATTTTGAAAGAATCACACTCAAAATACAAGTGTAGGGAGGTGGAAAGAGTTTGTAAGCATAACTGTACAAAAGCACACAAAAAGAATGTACAGTTGCTCGCCCCTTCCTGTAGGCTGGGGTGTCAAACACCCATCCTTTTTACCGAATCCAAAAAACTTGGCGAGAAAACTCATTTAGGAGCGGACCGAGAGTCTAATTTTTGTTAGTCACCTCCTCCGACATAATTATTTAAAAAAAATGTTTTTCCAGTTTTATGTGCAATACTGCCATTTATTATCAACTAGATACTGACGCTCAAGTACTAATCATATGTGTAGTATAAACATGATATTCAGTATAGTAGAGGAAAAACAATATGCAGACAAGAGTAGTGTGTCCAAATTTCATAAAACAGTAGATTCTGAAGTATAAACACTTTTATAGACACTTTACTATCCCATGAAGCCAAGTGAGAGGATTTGTGAATGGCAGTGAAGCGACACAAATGACACTGGTAGGTCACGTGACAATGACAACATAACAGTTGTAGTTCATCCGGGCTAGATTCATACACACATTCACACTATATAGAAGATGCTTTTATAACAGCTGCAAAGGTATTAAAAGAAGTACCTGCAAATTTGGACGCAGCCATGCAATACTAAAACAAAGTACCTTAGCAGGCAGCATAATTAAAATGTCTGCTTTCTGGAACACATAAGATGCCTTAAAATCCTGCCTGCGTAGGTAGTTTACTACATTTTGGAACAGAGCGTTTGTGTTTGTCAGTGGGTTAAAGAGAAAAAGGGAGCGCGATATAAGATGGTGGAATAGAGTGTAGTTGTGTGTGAAAAGAACTCCATGGTTGATGGTCCCTCTGGAGGGCACGCTCCGCTGCAGCAGGTTAAGGTGCGGATGAATAAGTACCTGTCCCCGAAGACAAACGGATATGATTTCAGCCATGTCCGGAGGACCATGTGCCCTGTGCAGCCATATAGTAATGAAGCCTTAGAGATCCTCTCCCCTCCTCCCCGCCTTAAGTGTGTGGAGAACTTGACCAGTGACTCCGAAGATAGACTCCTCGGACATTTGATTAGCTGGTCCCTGAGCAAGAGATCTTTCAGAGAGAACAAAGTGTTCCTAAATTGCTTTGGCTTTTTAAGATGACTTGAACAAAAGAGAGTTCATTGGTAAACTGATTGTGCCTCCTTGGTATCTCTTATTTTTCAGGAATAGAGCTGACAGAAGTCGCAAAAAAAAAAAAAGAAAGAAGAAAAGAGAGGTTTCCCGAGGCAATTTCAATCCGAGGTTTCCCTCTCTATATTAAGTGTCCTCTGCCGTAACTGAAGTTATTCTAGGCGACTTCATAAATTGAAGCGATTTTGAAATAAATTGAAGAGTTTTTTTGAGCTAAGTGGATTTTAACTGCAACTTCACAAAACATGATATGCATCGTTAATTAATTTGGGTAGTCTTTTTTTCTTGCTAAATATATATAGGCCTATATATAATATACTACTGTTTTAAAGTCTGGGGTCACAGATTTTTTAAGAAAGAAATTGATACTTTTATTCAGAAAGAATGCTTTAAATGGATCAAGTGGATTATTTTAACTCTCACTATTCATCAAAGAATCCTGAAAAAAGAGACTGTATTGAAGTTTCCACACAAAATTAAGCAGAACAACCATTTTCAACTTTTTGGTATTTTTGGTATAAAGGTATTTGTGAGTGTCAAATTAGCATATCAAATTGATTCTGAAGGAACATGTTACCATTGAAGACTGGAGTAATGGCTACTGACAATTCAGCTTTTTAAAAAATATATATTATTATATATTCACAGATTCAAATGAATATAAAATAAATAAATAAAAAAATCAAATGTTTATGGATTGTAGAAAATTTATATAATCTACACTGTAGATGCCTAACCTGTTGATGCATGGGTGTCCTGGATGCTGATTGGTCAGTCTTTGTAACTTTCAAAGGGTCTGATTTGATAGCATTTTTCTGCTATCCATGATTCTTTGCAATCACGTTACATCCTTGTAGAAGGTATTTCAAAATGCACACTTCTATCTTAACTGACATTCACCTTCAGAGTGATGTAGGTCCCCTAGCTGGCTCATCTACTACAGCATAGGTGCGCACTGCAAAGACAATGGTGTAGAAACAATTTTCACTCAGAAATTGCTAGTAAATTTCACAAATAATTGCAAAGAAACTGCTCGTAACAATGAATTAAACATGAGCTTTTGAAATGTTGAGATTTTGAATTTTGAAGACTGAAATAGTATTATTTTAATAAAATATAATAATAAATATAATAATAGTATAATCTAGAATAATATGTTTTATTCACAACTTCATTTTTTACAGTGCAGCTGAGAAATGGAGAGAAAATACAACCAATTATTAATTACTAAGATAAAAAGTAGTGATTCAGAGAAAATGTAAATGATTTTTATATATAATATGACGTGTGCAATTTGTAAAAGTCAAGTTGTAATTTGAATTCCTGTTCTGAATGTAGATTATACAGGTAGGTAATAGAGACATGTGTTCAACATAATGTGTTGTCTCACTGCTTAAGGTGAAGTCTGTGACCTCGAATACGATTACCACCTTCCATAAATTCAGTCCGAATAGCTGTGGTGTAGCACTTATAATATTAGAATAACCTGTCCAGCGCTTTGCCAGACCAGGATAAGGTTAATTTAATGTAACGCAAGTCCAAATGAGATGATTTCATGGTTAACAGACACGTGGATGAAAAAGATAAAGGAAATTGAGTCCCTCTTTTGAAGAGATAATTAATAATGATTTAGGCCAATGACCCTATTATCCTCTCACGATAACCAGTCGCCCTCTGTATTGTAGGGTGGGTCAGAAGTAAGAATATATTTAATTGTACATTTCCCCTTTTCCTTATTGACGACAAACATTCCTTAATATAGTTTTCAAAATATACAACCGTCTTGAAGCAACATAATGGCCCAAGCTGGTCTTTTCATCAGGGACATTCTCTATCTCTCGTTCTCCGTCTGCCTGTTTCTCTCTCTGCAAGATGAACTGTGACATGAAGATTTGTTTTTAGCCCCCATTGTCACTCGCTAGGGTAGTAAAGCCTAGTGGAAACATTAAACACAGTAGAGAGGATGCAGCTAGTGGGAGATTCACAGCGTGAGAGCTCACTCAATCAGCACTCAGCTGCGGGCCTCAGATCCGGTTCTTTGGATTCTGCTCACAGTTCCTACCGGGCCACATATGACTGTGTCACTCAGAGCATCTATCTAGCTCTGGAATTTGAATTAAAGAGCTCCCATCAGACAAAAATAGTGCTGGTTCCCTCTAATCAGTAATCAGTAGACTGAACCGGAAACTGGCATGTATTGACTCGTGTCAAGCTTTTGAGTGACTTAAGTCTCAGGCAGGGGTGGACGTACAGTAATCAAGCTCAGCACCAATTGATTTCTCTGTTAGATAAACGGAGGTAGAAGTAAACTGAAGACTTTAGAGGAGTAGTTGGGACTTTTCTTACCCCTCTTCACTGTTCCCAATTAGGAGGGGCTTTCAAACTTCTTGAGGCCAAGGACCTCCAAATATGTTGATCTCCTTGTGACCCTGTTTGCTAAAATATAAAAGCAGCTGTGTATTTTTATGTATTAAAGGAAGAATCATTTATACTGTGTGTGTGATAAA